ACCTTCCCAGATGGACCAGCTCACCCAGCAAGGTCTCCATCACACTCCCTGTCCTAAGGTGAAATCTCCAGCTCTGCAGAAACAGATCCTATATCAAGAGAGCCCAGACCTGAGGCACAGCCACAACAACAAGCACATCCTGATAAAGAAAATATCTGCTGGCAGCCTGGGAGCAGGGGAGGGAGCATCTGGATCAACACATCTCTGGCAGTGCAGCCAGAAGCCAGTCATAGGGATGAAATCCCACACCAAATGCTCCTCCTGGTACATGACATCCCTTTAAGCCAAGACAGCTGCACTGATACCTGCCTGGGCCCGGTGGTGGTGTTACACTGAACCAAGAGTACATCCCTGCACCCAGGGTGCTGTGCCTGGGATGGAGCAGGAGGAGAATCCACATCAGAGTTGAACATCAACTACTCTGCAGTCCAAGTCATTCCAGCACAGCTGCACCTTCAGCACCATGAAGCTGCACAGCACTTGCCACCAGCAGGACAATCCATCCACAGGTAAGTGCTGCAGGTGCTCCCAGGAGTGACTGAGAATTTGCTTTGCCTAATCCAGGGGGGAAATCCAGCTCACCAGTGCAGCACAAGAGAACCCCAGCACCAGCAGTTTCCCAGGCTTTTGTTCAAAAGAAACTGGGAACAAGGCAAACCAGCACAGGACATGGCTGTCACTGGCCCCAGTTACCCCCCAGATGCAGCCCAGCAGCTGGTGCTGTGGTGTTAACTCACAGGAAGGTGGGCTCTCGGGCCGCTTTTGGAAAGGCCCATCGGTGGAACAGGTCAAGACTATCCTGTTTGTCCTCCAGAATCACCAGACAGGTCTCAGTCTTGCCAGCTTGCCTGGTCACAAAACGACACCGTCCCAGGACACCCCAGAGGAGGGTGTGCAGAAGCACAGCCTCCTGTCCCTGTTGCACAAGGCTGGGAAACAGCAGCACTGTGTGGCTAATTTCAAGGTTGGGCCCTTTCCATCAGGACCAGCAAGACTCCAGATGGACTGCAGGAGAACCCACCTGCAAATGATGCTTTCTGGGCAAAGCAAGTTGGGCAAATCTTTTATGTCCAAAAAACACACAAGCTTGTCCACCCTCAAGCAGAACTACATTTCACTTTGCAGGAATTCCCATGTATTTTCAGCCCTCTGTCCTTCCTGGGGACTTTTTATATCTCTCACATTTGGTTTCTCCCACATAGTAGATGCAAGTCTCAACCTGGCAGAATCCAAACCCAGGCAGGAAACAGCATTACTTTGCTTTCCCACAGCTTTGGAGACACCAAAACTTCTCTTTCTCTTGCCATTTCACCATTCTCCTGCTTGGAAACATTTCTTCCAGTTACAACCAGAATAAGTTACTTGTTCAGACTTAGTTTCTGCATTTGCCCTGTTCCCCCACCTTCCAAAACACCTAATTTGGAAAAAATACTCTTCCACACACAGTTTGTCAGCCTCAGTTGTGTTTGCAGGCAGAGCCTTCAGAGACACCCTGCTTTTTGCCTCCTCTTTCCTGGTTTCAGTGAAGTAATCAAGGGCTACTGCTCTGAGCAAGTTCAGGTGCGGGAGATGTCTCCAGGGAACGGGTTCCTGAAGGTTTTACCACTGTAAGGGAGATCCACACGCTGCACCAGCACCTCCTGCACGCTCATCTGGGGTCAGGATGCCCACCTGTTCTGAAGGTGTCAGTACCATTTCTGATTCCACAAAGAAAGCCCCTGTTTCTAAGACCTGAAGTTTTCCAAACACAATTCAGATGTGACACCCCAGGTCCTCTCCTAGCAAAGAGACTGCTTGTTGTTGCTGATACTTGATTTTGCCAAGCATTTACAGCTTAGATTAGCAAAAAACCCTGCCCATAGCCCAGCTAACTATTCAGAACTGCAGAGACCAAAGGAACAAAGAGGGATTGTCAGTTTAGCACTGACACTGGAAAACTGCATGAAGCAACAGCAGAAAAGCCCTGAGAGAGGATAAGGGGAAAACAGTGGCTAATACTGCTTCTACTTGGGCTGCTGCAACCTCCACCTGGGAAGACACAGCTGCAACTTCTGGGGGCACAGTGTTTTCACCAAATCTGTTCCACAAAACCTGCCTATGGACTGAAAGCAGAATGAATCCCTGTGTAGGGGAGAAGTATAGAGATGAATGGACTGGACTTCTGTCAAGGCCATAACTGGCTCATGACCAGCCTTTCACCTCATCTTCTTCTGGCCAGGAAGGTTAATTGCCTGCAGTGCTGAACTTGGATCTCAGTGCTGTCCCTCACACATCTCTGCAGGGACCCAGCTACTTCCCTCCCACCTCCCCAAATCACAAACATCAACTCATTAACTTTGTACAGGGTCAGACAATTTGCAAGTCAACTTTGAAAGAGCTGGGAGCAGATAAGACACACTTCTGGTTTAGGAAGCAAGTCACAGATACCAGCTCCTTCTAGTCCTGCCAGAAGAGACAGGGCTTTGAGCAGGGGTTGGGGGGTTAAAAATTGTTTCTCATTATTTTGACTTGACAGATTCTTTCTATAGACATCACTGAAAGAGCCTGCTTCCCTTAGCAGGGCTGGGAAAACAATCCAGGGCATTCCTGCCAGAGTGTTACCTCAAAGTCTGAGGCAGTCCCACCCTCGCTGGCCTCCAGCTGACCAGCTGGTAAAGCTGAAGCTCCAATCTTCCCCCTCAGTGCTCTGACCAAGCACTGCCCCTTCCCTCATCTATCCCACACTCCATAAAAGCACTTCCTTGCTCTCCTGCCCACTTCACATTTTGTTAACATCCTGCAGACTTCACTGGGATTTTCCCAAAACAGCTGGATAAGAGCAGAGGTGCCCCAACCACCACATGCCAACGGAATGTCTAACTCCAGCTTCCTCCATTTCCTGTCCCTTTGATCCACTGCAGGAACAACCAGCACATGAAACTGGGACACTCTGCTGGGTCACTATTAGGAGGACATGAGTAAGGGAAGGTGGAGACGCCAAGGAGTCCTTGGCCCTCCACATCACCCTGTTCAAAGGCTGTGCCCCCTAACCCACCCCAGAACAGGTCTTCCTACTCCACAGGAAGAGGAAGCGACTCTCCCAAAGGCCGGAAAAGCCTGTTCCACTGCTCACACCTCCTGTGCAGGGCAGCTGGCACAACTTGCAGCATCTCTTCTCCTTACTGGACCCAAACTAGACTAATTTTAGCCAGGGCTCCCTGGAAGCACGACACGCGTTCCCACACAAGCAGCCTAAGAACTGCTGCCATCAGCGCCTTCCTCAGGTGGTGGTTTGGCACATATTTAACCAAGGAACAGCAGGATCACAACACCTAAGAGAGGTGCTGGATCCAGGGGGCTCAGCTAAGCCTCCCACACGGATCTGACGGTGCCCATGGCACCTTTACCACAAAGCAGGTGTGCCAGGGGTCACTGATGGGGACTAGGGAAGGCACCTGGGCTGTGGCCCCAGGAAGCTGATACCCCCAACAGCCACTGCCCTTCAGCCTCCCCTCTGCCAGGAGCTCTCCAATACCTTAACCTTCTCCTATCCCCAACAATACTAGAGGCAGGCACATTCCTAATCAGGGAGACCCAAAATGCCAAGTCTACACTTCCCAACTCCCCCCCAGCCTCCCCCAGTGCTGTTACAGACACCTATTTCACAGGCTGCAGTGGGTGCCCGTGGCTTCTCAAGCCCTTTGTACTTCCAGGTAGCAGCTCTGTGTTTGCTGGGACCCCTGTGGGCACAACCTGTGCTGTTCAAAGGCACAGCCCAGTGATCAGCTCTGGCAGCCAAAGTCCACTCTGCCACAGGGAAGGGCAGCCCAGGCTCCCCACTCCCTTCTCCCACAGCCCCAGCCCTGCACAGCTGCATCATATATCAGAGTAAAATATATTTAGGGAGACCTATGGCTCAAGTTCCCCTCCTGCCTGGGTTAGTTTTCAGTCAATGATTCCCCACCCTGCTCCACACAGAACAAGCCCCGGCACTGAGGAAATGGCAGAAGGGCAGCTGGGCCTCTGTGAAGAAGCCTGTCCAAGGCTTCTGCGGGGCACAGAGCACTGCCAGTGGTGCCCCAGGTACAGAGACACCTGCTCAGGTGAGCCTGTGGAAACTGGAGCCACTGGGCTGGCCAAGGAGTAACCTTTCATTTTTATTTTATGAAAGTATATCCCGAGACACACTTTCTTTGCTATTTTACAGCCCCAGAACCTTGAGATCTCACAATTCCTCGAGCCCAAGTGGGTCCTCGACCAATGTAACCAACCACTGTCGAATTACCCACCCAAACAGGCACTTTTGGCATGAGGCAGCTGCAGGAACAACCAGCAATTTTACGTCTGGTGGGAAAAAAAGAAATCAAAGTGCCAGGAGGATATAAGAGGGATTAGAGACCTGAAATTTAACACTACCCAAACTCTGGAAAAGGTTGCTTTCAGGGGAATGGAGCCGAGCCCTTCCCTGGAAGGGGTGAGACAGATCAAGTGAGTGTCAGTAAGAGAAGCACTCGAGTCAGCGCTGCCTCAGCCCCCGCTCCCTGCCCTCGCCCCGCTCCTTCCCTGGCCCAGCTGGTCCCTTGGGAACAGCCCAAGGCTGCACGGGGGGCACGGGAGCGTCTCCTCCGGCTGGAATCCGCCCGCCCGCGGTGCCAGCTGGCACGGCCGGCCGGCCGGGCCGGGAATGGGGGCCGCACCGGGCCCAGGGTCCCGGTCGGGACACGCACCGGACCGGCCCGCGGGGCGGAGGGGCCTCGCCCAACCGGAGTGCGGGGGCAGAAGCGGGGGAGCGGGTGCGGGGCCGCCCCGCCCGGGGCAGCCGCGGCCCCTCCCGTGCGGGGAGCGCGGTCCCGCTCCCCCCGGCCCCGCACGGCCCCCCCAAGGGCCGCACAAAGGGCCCGGCCCGGCGCTGCCCCGCCGCGTCCCCGCTCGGGCCCGGGCAGCGCCCCGGCCGCGGCCCCGCTCTCGGGCCGGGCCCCCCCCAGCGCTGCGGGGGCGGCGGCCCCGGGCCCGGCGCTCACCCGCGCGCCGCCTCCAGGCTCTTGATGAGCTTCTTGATCTTCCAGATCTCCACGTTGCGGTCGGCGGCGCTGGGGTCGTCCGCCATCTTCTGTGCGGCGGCGGGTCCGGCGGGGCCGGGGCGCGGTGCGGCGGGGCGGGCCGGGGCGGGTGCCGGGCGCTGCCGTGCGGGCCCGGCGGCTCCGGGCGCGGTCGGTGCCCGCTCCCCCCGGCGCGCGGCGCTGACGTCGCACGCGGTGCTCGCGCTCCCCCGCGCCGCGCACCATGTGTTGCAATCGCCTCACATGGGGCCCCTCGCGTCACTTCCGGGGAGGGGGGGGCCGCCGCCGGCGGGGCGCAGCGCCATTGGCCACCGCCCCTCCGCGCGCGCGCGGGGCACCCTGGGCAGCGTAGTCCCGGGGAGGGGCGGCTGGTCTCGCGAGAGCTGAGCGGCACCGCCCGCGCGCGCTTAAAGGGGCCCGGGGGGGCGGGGCCGGGAGTGTGAGGGGATGGGGGGGGCAGTGACAGTGACACCGACCCGGAGATATGGACAGAGGGGACAGGCGGGAAGGGACCGAGTGGATCACCTGTCCAACCTCCCTGCTCCAGCTGGGCCATCCCAGAGCACATGGCACAGGACTGTGTCCAGACGGTTCTGGAATATCCCCAGTGAGGAGACTCCACACCCTCTCTGCTCTCTCTCCAGGGCTGGGTCACTGCCCAGCAAAGAAGTTCTTCCTCCTGTCCAGCTGCAACTTCCCGGGCATCAGTTCCTGCCCGTTCCTCTTGGGCCATTGCTGGGCCCCCCGAGCAGAGCCTGCTCCAGCCTCTGCCCCCTCCCTGCAGCCCCTGACACACCCTGGGGAGGGCCCCTCTCAGGCTCTGCTCTGGAGGCTGAACAGCCCCAGCTCCCTCAGCCTTTGCTGCTCCCAGAGCTGCTCCAGCCCTTGGGCATCTCCGCAGCCTGCGCTGGCCCCGCTGCAGGAGCTCCCTGGCCCTGCTGTGCTGAGGAGCCCCAGCTGGGCCCAGCCCTGCAGATGTGCCTGCCCAGGGCTGGCCAGAGGGGCAGGATCCCCTCCTGCCCTGCTCCAAGGCTCTTCCTGATGCCCCCAGGATCCCATTGGCCTCCTTGGCCCCCAGGACACACCGCTGGGCAGGGACAGCTGGTTGTCCCCCAGGACCCCCAGGGCCTTCTCCTCTCCAGCAGGTCCCCCCCAGCCTGTGCTGGTGCCGTGGTTGTTCCTCTCCAGGTGCAGGACCCTGCATTTGCCTTTGTTGAATTTCAGAGGGTTCTTCTCTGCCCATCTCTCCAACTTGTCCAGACCCTCCTGAAGGGGTGCAGAGGCAACGCCTCCCAGCTTTGTGCCATCAGCAAACTTGCTGAGGAGGCATCAACCCCCTTATCCAAGTCATTGATGAACAAGTTAAACAATACCCAGAACTGAACCTTGGGGGGATACCACCAGTGACAGGCCCCCAACCAAGCCCTGTGCCACTGATCACAACCCACTGGGATATGACACTCAGCCAGTTCTCAATCCAGCCCACTGCCCATCCAGCCCACATGGCCTGAGTTAAGTGTCAAAGGCCCTGCTGAAGTCGAGGTGGGCAATACCCACTGCTCTCCCCTCAGCCATCCGGGCAATCATTCCATCTTGGAAGGCAATCGGGTTGAGCAAACATGACTTGCCTTTAGTGAACCCACACTGACTACTCCTGATCACACTCTGGGCCACCTCAGTCCCCCCAGGCCACCTGTTCTACACCCCACACCACCCCTGTGCCCCTTCCCCAGCCCCTGCCAGCTCACCTGGCCACAGCATGGACCATGTGCCCCCTCTAGCTCCCCTGGGCCAGACCCCACCCAGCAGTGCCTGATGGTCTGTACTGGGGGCTGCAGCCTCCCTCACACTCCAGGTGTTTCCTCCCTCTTCTGTGCCCTGTCCATGCAGCAGCTGCTGTCCCAGGCGCAGCCAAAGCCCTCAGCCCCTGTTCTGGAAACGCCCCTGGTCCCTTTCTGGCCCATGAACATCATTTGGAGGAGGCCAAGCAGGGCAGGAGGCAGGGAGAAGGGAGACAGGGGGAGATGGAAGGGTTTTATGGAGCCATAGGGTTATCTCCCATTTCTCTTTTCCTGGGAAGCATCACCTTCCTGCTGCCCCATCACTGCTGGGGGTGTCTGAGGGCACGCATGTCACCCACAGGGGTCTGGGCCAAGCCCCCCTGTGCTCCAGGCACTGCCTCAGAGGCACTGAAGGAGTGGTGACTGTCCAGAGAAGGGCAGCAAGGCCCAGGGGCTCAGGAGAGGCTGGAATAGTGCCCAGGGAGGAGGTGGCAGTGGCTGGCTGGGGGACTGTGCCCCACAGCCCTGCCCCACACAGGGGAGATGAGCACTGGGCTGGCTGGGAGGGGTGAGGGCCTCCTGCCCCACAGCACAGCCACAGCCCAGCCCCACAGCCCTGCTCGGCCAGGGCATCCTCCTGACCCCCTTCTGGGCCCAGGAGGGCAGGAGGTCACACCAACCCCAGGCAGATGAGGCTGGGGAGCAGAGCTCCCCTGTGCCCCTGCAGGGCCCTGGGCTGGGGCTTCTCCTGTTAGTGGGGGGGACTGGAGCTGTCAGTCCCTGGCTCTCAGGAGCACATGGCAGTGATGAGCCACCAAGCCCACCCTTGTGGCACTGTGGGGAGCTCACCCACCTTTCCTGCCTGAGCACAGGTCCAGGACTGCAGCCAAACACCCCCACAGCCTCAGTGTGCAGCTTTGCAACCCCACTGCCTGCCTTTTTTGCCCCAAAGATGCCGGGCAGGGGGTTTGGGAGTGCCAGGGACCGGGGAGCACCTGCCAATTCTGCCTCCAGGACAGTTCCAAATGGGACTAGCTGGAAACACAACGATGAAAGCACACTGAAGCCATTTCCTTGTTCCTTTCATTAAGTGTAGCAGGAGGCTGCTTCCCTTGTGCCTCCCCACCAAGGTGATGCTCTCCTGGGGATGCTGAGCAGGGGGGGCTCATGGCCGTGGTGTCTCCCCAGCCCCAGTCTGCCTCCCTGGGACGTGCCAGCTCTGCCCTTTGCCATCAGCCAGGGCCCTGCCCTGCCCCTGGGCTCTGACCTGTGCTGTGCCATGTTAGGGGGCAATCGTGTTCCCAGGACAGCAAGTGCTGCCACAGCCCGAGACCACTGCAGCCTCCTCTCCCTCCTGTGCTGCCTCTCAGCTCCCCAGGACAGGACACATCCCAGGAAAGCACCAGTGAAGCCCTGCCAGGGCTGGCCCAGCTGGGCAGCCTAGCCACCCAAACAGAGGCTGGGCTGGGACTCAGCCCAAAGCTGGGTTTTTTACCCTCAGGGTTGTGCCAGGAGGATGTTGTGAATTTCTGAACTACCTGGTCAGATTTAAAGTCCTGCTTCTCTTCTGGGGCTGAGCAAGTACCAGTTTCAACCCTCAGAGGTATTTTTTCCACATGCACCTAGTCCCACACAGCCCTTTTTAATCCTCCTTGGAGCAGGAAGACAGTGGATTAGGTGTGGCTTTAGGAGTTGATCTGCTGAGATAGAAGTTTTGTGTCCAGTGTGCCAGGGACAGTGTGCACAGAGGGGCAGGAGGTCAACTTACTCTGTGCTTCCCAGGCACTCCTGCCCTTCCAGCTCCATCCAGGGACTCTACTCTCTCTTTCCTCCTGGGCAGTGCTGCAAGTACTTCCCCAAGGAAGCTGAGTGCCTGCCTGCACAGGAACACAGCAGAGCCTCATCCCCACCAGGCACACTCCCCAAACAGGTCACACTGTCCCGAGCTGGGGGAGAAGGCTCCCAGGAAAGGGAAAGAAGGCACTGCAGGCACATGGAGATTCCTGTGCCTGGCTGGAAACTCAGCCTCCCCTCCCCTCTTAGTCAGGCAGGGGCTGTGATTGGGATCTGCTCAGTCCTGTTTGTGTCACTGGATGGTGTTTGAGGCTGACAGAGCCCGAGGGCTGTGCCTGGCACTGACCAGCTCCCACCACAGCTAGGTGGGAACATCATCCTGTTGCCTTTTCCCCAAAGTTTTACTAAATTTTTCTTGATTACTACCACCCACAGAGCAGTAATTTATTCCAGAGCTGCAGCACCACTGGAGCTTCCTGAAATAAGTATCGGCCTGTGTGGAAAACAAACCCCCAACAGCCTGTCCCAGTGCTGCCAGTGCCTTCCCAGTGGTGGGATGGCAACACTCAATGGCTCAGGAGAGCAGTCACTCCTTCCCCGAGGGGTACAGCCCAGCTGCTGCACCTCCTGCCTCCCTGGCAGGTTTTCCCAGCAAGAAACTGTTCTCAGCATGACACACATCACCTCATTTCACTGCTCCTTCCCCAGTTCAATAATTTAGCTTATAAAGGAGGAGCTAAGAAGAGCACATTAATAAATAAAGAACATCTTTGAAAGATATATTTAAACTGCGACAGGGAAAATAATTCATTGAAGAAGCAAAGGCCAATCCTGATCAATGATTCAGGACCCTGGAGGCAGCAGAGGATCCGTCCACGGCTCCGTGAGCCCAGCAGGGAGGAAATGGCGCGTGAGCAGCTCCCAGAGCAGCCCCCTGTCCTGGGCTGCCCCAGCCCTGCTCTGGCAACAGCTGGCTGCCTTTTGGGGGAGGCAGCAGGAACAGCTTCCACCGAGGATGCTTTGCAAACTGTTTCACTTAAGGACATTTCCTTTCAGCGCCTGAAACGCCCACCTCGCTCTGCCGGAGAATTCCTTCTCTTTTTCCGACTGTGGTTTTATCCAGGGGATCACTTTTGACAGGAGCAGCAGCAGCAGAAGGGAATTCAGGACAGAAGTCACCTGCAGTCAAGCCTTGTAAAAATAATTCTCAGGAGATGGCCAGCCACGTGCTCCTGCCCAAGCCCAGAGCAGGGTGGTGCTGTGACAGGACACAGCACATTCAGGACACAGAGCTGCCCATCCCGATGACACACACGGCTCCTGGGAGCAGCAGTTGCTGTGGACATGAACGTCCTTAGCCACTTGTTCCTCAAAACTTCCAGGAAAGCCCCCAGCCACGTGATCCAAGTAAACAGGGACAAATACAGACTTGCCACTTGAAAAACCCAACAGAACAGGGCCTGGACCCACACCCTTTGTGTCACTTGTACACTCACGGGAGACCCACATTCACTCCACCAGCCTGGTGGAAGCCCCGCGGGCTGGCAGTTGGCACCATCCACCCTGGAATCAGCCACAGCAGAGCCAGGGTCCCCAGGCCTCACCAGCTCCCCTGCTGAAAGCAAAGCGCTGAAGTCTGGGTTGGA